CTGGATTTGTTATAGTAGACGGGTCTCGGGCTAGAGCAGACGCTACTCTGCGAAATTTTAATAACTTAAATCCCATCTCTCTTTTGTTTCCCCGCGAGCCTCGCGCCATGCCGCTTACTTGACATTTATCCTCCAGGCCGACCCGGATGAAACTGAAAATTTATGAATATAAATTGGATCAGTTAATTAAAGAATTATAAAATCAAAAGCTGCCTTATACGGAAATAATAACTTTTCAAATTAGATATTTTGAAATGCACTTTTTTACAATACACATCATATTCTCTCCCTGTTTTTTTTTTAAATTACTATTGATCCACAAAGTTGTATTTTTAAATAAATTACCAATTAACCAATATATAAAATATCTCAGATTTTAAGAGAGAAAATATGGTTTATATGGACTTGTATGTTTTAAAGCTTCGTTTTCAAGTTACAGGGTGGTAAAGTTGTGTAACTTCTTGGGGCGAGTTTAATAAAACTTTTCAGGTTTTTGGTAATCGACAAAGGGCTTAATTTAATGTAATTAAATGTAATTTAGTTAATCCAGAGGCGGCGCTGGGGCATCTTAACTATATATACTTGTATAAAAATAAAATTTGGGCACGCTACTGCTTTTTTATTATTATTTATATATTAAGCAATTAAAAATAGAGTTTTTTTCTCTTGAATTTATTCTCCATCTTATTTATTTTGTAAGAAAAAAAAATTCGTTTATTTGCTTCCCTTGAAAAAAATTATGGAAAAAAATTTAATTTTTTTCTTGAAAATTAAGCAAGGTAAATAATGCAAGAAAGAAAAAAGTTGTATTTTAAAATGCCACAATGTCACCATAATATTTTTTATTAACTTTAACACCCTATATCTAAAAACAAAAGCTTTTTAAAAACATACAAGTTAATATAAACTTTTCTACTTATTTTTTCGAGTTCTATTGACTAATAAATTTTTACGATTAAAATCTAAATCACCCTTTAGTATTTTTTCATATTAGCAATTAGCATTTTAAGTAAAATAGTCAAGCTCAAAGATATTATAAAGATAGGTATTATCTTTGGTTGAGCTATCTTAAATTAACCTTAAAAACTATTAATAACATTAAATTAAAAAATATTGTCAAGTAAAATATTATTATTATTTTACTGATCACAAACTTTTATATTTTTGAAGTATTCTTACCTATTATAATTAGTATTTTAATAAGGGTTATTAAACGTAATTCTTACAAAAGGAAGTTTTGAACGATAAATTTAACGTTCGTTTATTCTGAACTAAATTTCTACTATATCAAAACCATTTTATAACTGTAAATAATTCTTATTTGTTTGGAAACTTTTTGAGTTTTAAAGTGGTATAAAACTATTAAAAATTAATTAAAAGAAAAAAATAACTTTGAGTAAAAATTAAAAAAGGGTTTTTCTGAAATACCCCATATTAAATTACACTGGTCGACAAAACGAAATTGTTTGTTTGCCACAGTGGAGTCAACTACTTTTTTTAGGGTAATTTGGATGCGCTAATTTAAAAAACGACCATCATTTTGCTCAATTAGTCTTTGTTTTCGATGTATTGTTTTTTTCTTTTAAGGAATTCTTAGCTTTAAACCTTAAAAAGTTAATGTGGTTTTAATATTGTACAAATATGACTTATGAGTAAACTTGAGTTAAGAATAAACCAACGTTAAATATTTCTTAAAATAAAATAATATAAAATACCATCCTGTGGCAAAAACATTTTATTATCTTTTTTACAAACATTTAAAAAAATATATACATATACCTAATCATGCAAGCATTAGGAAGTTTTTCAAACTAAATGATTTTTTAAGTCTTTGTATAATTAAATTATTTTTAATTTATTTACTTTGTACTTAAGTCATATACTTATTTTTAACTCTAAAATATTTAGAAAGCATATAATTTTTATGATATATCAATAAGATAAGATGCGCTGGAGTTTTAATGCTATATATGATATGCTAAGATTATTTTTGGATATATTTAATTTTACTTTATAGTAAACTTTATTACTTACTTAAGGTAACATTTTAAAATATAAATCTTTAAGACAAAGAAATTATAAATGTTAAAGGTTGAAAAAAACTTGAAGTAGATTAACGTTATTTTTACGTAAATTTTGGTCGCTTGGGTAGTTATAATGTAGTAAAAATAACGTAATAAACCATTGTCCATATTTGATAATTTTTTGTATCTGTACACTTATTTTACCATTATGGAATACTGTAAAAATAACTTTTAGATAAGTCAACTGGTATTGACAAATATTGTGGTAAATTTTATTTAAAGCATTATACACTTGGGTGCAAAAAAATCGACTCACTAACAAGCTTGAGTTTTAAAAGAATGTGTGTAACCTACAACAGCATACTGATTAATGTTATATGTATTGTTTAAAAGCTCAAAAATATTGCTTTTAAATAATACCATATTGACTCAAATTGTACCAGTTTTAACAAGTCTATAGGCCTCCAAATATTTATAAGACAAAAGAGTTAAAATATAAAAATGGAAAATAAACGAAAAACAAATAAATCAATGAACAAAATTATTTTTTTATTTTTTTAATATTTGGTGTTGTCACCTCTTGTTATAATGACACATAAACACCAATTACGCATTGACCTAATTACATTTTTAATGGTATCTTAAGGGATTGCTTCCCACTCCTCTATCAATTCTCTTACGGTATTTGGTGCTGGATTTTTATCTCGGACTCATCTCTTAAGGTCATCCCAAACATGCTCGATAGTATTTAAGTCCGGGCTCTGTGGAGGCCAGACCATGGTCGGTATAACAACTTCATTTAAGTTAGAGGTGATCACTCGCGCGGTGTTGCATAAACATAAACGATCACCAACAAATCCCGCATACGGTACCACATACTCTTGAAGAATGTCCGTGATGTAGCGGTCTGCCGTTAATCCTCCTCTACGACCTCCACCAGGCACGAAAACCATCTTTGTTTTGCCGCCTATTGAAATTCCCGCCCAGAACATACAAGAGTCACCTCCGTACGCAACAGTTGGCTCAATACAGCATTGGAAAAATAGCTCTCCTGGCCGCCTATACACCCTCTGTCTCCTGTCATTGCCATGTAAGCACATTCTGCTTTCCTCGGAGAATAAAACCTGACTCCATTGGCCGAGGTCCCAATTAATATGTTCATTAGCAAATTCCAGTATTTTTTGTTTTTGGGTTGCAGTCAAATTGGGAGCCCTAGATAGCCTTTTTGGGGTAAGGTTGACTGCCTTCAGGCGTCTTCTAACTGTCCAACGGCTGACTACAACACCACGAACCTGTCTCAGCTCTTCTGTGAGATCAACACCAGTAAGTGTTCGATTTCCTAATATTTTCGTGACGAGAAATCGATCGTCCCTCAAGGATGAGACTGGTCTATGGCCACTTTCTTGTAGGCGGTTGTAGCCACCCGTTTCTTGGTATCGATGATTAATCCGACATAGGGCTAACTGACTTATATTGAGTCGGTTTGACACGGCCCTCTGGCTAAAGCCCTCACCTAATAATGCAACTGCCTGAGCTGTTTTGGTGGTAGTTGTATTCATTTTAATATGAATTACTCGTGGCTTTAGTTTAATTAGCTTATGTTTATTAATTACATTTGACAATTAAAAGCAATCAGTAGATTGTAGGCCGTTTACAAGGTCATTACGCGGATCCATTCGAATTAGCAAGATTTGCGACACCATGTTAATGTTTCATCTTTTTTTAATGCGTTACCTGATTATTGCTATAGTAACCTATTTTTATAGGTAAAAAAATAAAAAAACTTATGGCATATCTAATATTTTGATTTTTATTGTCCAAACACTAAAACAGTAGGCAGAAATGCGAATGCATATAGTGAGTCGATTTTTTTGCACCCAAGTGTACAAATTATTTTAGTTGAATAGTGTATTTTCGTGGAACAATATTTTAAGTGTTTGTATCTACTGTACTATAAAGAAAATAAAAAGTTGAAGCCTTTTCTGCGCTTTTGTGTAATGGCCCCTATAAAATAATTTTAAAAGCAATATACGACATTCCAAAAAACCTATTTTTGACACTTACAACGTTGTTTCATTAAAAACATCTAAAGGCTGGTCCACATCAATAAATATTTACGTTGTTCGTTGTATTGGACGCAAATTTGCTCGTGTTCGCCAGAATATTTATAGATGTGGATTGTGCGCCGAACAAAAAACACGCAAATATTTTCGCCAGATACAACACACGCTATCCACCGGTCTGTCGGTTTCTTTGCCAACTTCAAAGAGATTTGCGTCGAACGACCCTCGAGTGCTTGTTTTAATGTGGACTTGAATATTTTTTTAGTTTGTTTTTGAAATATTTTTGCGTCAAAAAATATAAATAAGTAGGATTATCTTTGGTAGCGCCTACCTATATATAATTATTATTTGGGTGCCATCATGTCCTCCCAACTTATTAGTAAAAACAAGTGCGCGGTTTTTATAATATTAAATTACCTACAACAAAATAATAATAAGAAGAAAGAAAATGAAAAACATAGACGTTATTGGACAACAAAACTTTTCCAGTGTAGAAGCCAGAGTGGTGGTGAAAACCTATTAAAAACGTTAGCATTCGATGAGACAACGAGGCAATTTAGAAATTTTCTACGAATGTCACCAGCCGATTTTCAAATTTTACTTAAGTTGGTTGAACCTAAAACGAAGAAAATGGACACAAATTTCAGAAAGGCTATTTCAGTTGAAGAAAGGCTAGCTCTCACTTTACGATTTTTGGCCACGGGAGATTCTTATTCAAGTTTGCAGTATCTGTTTAAAATCTCGAAACAAGCTATTTCAGAAATAGTGCCAGAAGTTTGCACTGCACTTATTGATTCTTTAAAAAATTACGTAAAGGTAAGCTTTTAAAAAATAGTTAGCTATTACTAGGAATAATAAAACTAAGAATCTTGTTTCGATTATTATTTTTTATTTTTCTGAACACGACACTACGCTACAATGTAATAAAAGGCCGCAGCACAGTAAGTAGGTTGTCTTCCTCCTGTGCTTGTTCATCTGGTTGAGCAGAATTCGAGGAACTATTAGTGTGAGCTGACCAAGGAGACCCTTCCGCTGCATTTGGGGAAGAAGCAGGAGTTGGTACTTGTGTTCTGAAGTGAGGGTTATCATTCGACGAACTGTTACTGTGAGCTGACCAAGGAGACCCTTGCGCTGCATTTGGAGAAGAAGCAGGAGTTGGTACTAGTGTTCTGAAGTGGGGGTTATCCTTCGAAGAACTGTTACTGTGAGCTGACCAAGGAGACCCTTGCGCTGCATTTGGAGAAGAAGCAGGAGTTGGTATTTGTGTTCTGAAGTGAGGATTATCATTCGACGAACTGTAACTGTGAGATGACCAAGGAGACCCTTGCGCTGTATTTGTAAAAAAAGCAGGAGTTGGTACTTGTGTTCTGAAGTGAGGGTTATCATAGTGTCCCATCTCTGCCTCAAAAATAATTTGGTTAATATTGTGTTCAATCATAGCTCTTGTTCTTCCTGAAAACTGCCTTAGTTTATTAGCCAAATGTTGGGTATATATCAAAGTTGGATCATCTGGTTGTTGTAGAAAATTTAAGGCGGCCTGTAATTGACTATCATTCACGCTATCGGTTTTAGATTGTTTTTTACGCTTCGGTGTTGGTGGTTTCATAAACTTTTCCTTTTCTTTTTTGGTATCTGACACTAAGTCCGCGTTACTGGTTGCGCTACTATTTTCTTCAATTTGTGTAGGATTTGCAAAATTGTCATCGTTGTCTTCCCTGATTTCGATAGGCTGAAATGCTTGCTCAAATTCACATTCATAGTTTTCGGTTTTATTAGCATTAGTACTAGTTTCCTCGCTGACTTCGTCCTGAAAAAATATTTTTTTTAGATGCCTTCAACGCCAGAGGAATGGTCAAGTATTGCTAAGCAATTTGAAACAATCTGGAATTTTCCACACTGCGCAGGTTCAATGGACGGAAAACACATTATACTACAATCTCCCAGGTGTAGTGGTAGCGACTATTACAACTACAAAGGATTTTTTAGTATTGTGTTATTTGCAGTGGTTGATGCTAATTATAATATAATCTTTGCTGACGTGGGCTGTCAAGGAAGAATTTCTGACGGCGGTGTTTTTAGGAATACTGAAATTTATCGTCGTATGCAGGCAAAGCTTTTACAATTACCAATGGCAACACCTTTGGAAAACAGAGAAAAACAAGTACCCTATGTCTTTATAGCTGATGAGGCTTTTCCTCTTACCGAAAACATAATGAAACCATACTCAGGAGTGCATCCAAAAGGATCTAAAGAAAGAATATTTAATTATCGACTTAGCCGTGCTCATAGAGTAGTAGAAAATGTATTCGGGATAATGGCATCAGTTTTCCGGCTATTAAGGAAACCTTTGTTGTTGGAACCAAGTAAGGCGGAAATTATTATTATGGCAATACTCCACCTGCACAATTTTTTGCGAAATAGTAAGACATCTCGAACTTATTCAATGGACGAGGAGTACAACATGGACGGTTTAACATCATTTCTGCCATTAAAAAATGTACCACGTCGAGCACCAATTCTTGCGAAAGAAATAAGGGAGGAATTTACGGAATATTTTTTTACAAATGGTTCAGTTTCATGGCAATTTATGTATGCTTAGAAAAGACAAACTTGCAATATAATAAGTTTCAGTTTAATTCTATAAATTAAAAATAATTTATAATTACTTACGCCTATTATAGTAGTTTCTGTATTTATGGTAACTCTTGGCTGATCCCTATCTTCGATAAATAAAAGGCTTTTAAAAGCAAACCAATTTGTTTTACATACCTCTTTTGCACCTAAAAAAAGTATTTAGTTTTTACTACACCTACTTATTTTATTATATCAAAATTCCCAGTAATTCACAGTGATTAGTCAAATAGGGAGATGAGAAAATTGAGTTGAATTAATAGGCGTATAATTTTGTCATATATAGCTTTATCATTTAATTTAATTTTTTTTAACCTCCTTGTCTACTTATTTTTTCTCTCTTAAAATGAATTATTCAAAAATAACTAATTATAAGTCATATTTAACTAATTTTCATAGCGAAAAAGCAGTCACTAATAATTAGTCAAATTCTATTGAATGAAATAGTCAAATTAGTAGATTTAAATTTAAAAAAAGTTTTGACCCAGCCGGGGATTGAACTCGGGTCTGTCACTTGTCAAGCTTGTCAAGCTACTGTCATAACTCATTCGGCCATCAGCCTCTCTTACAAAAATGAATTTAAATTGTCAATAAATATTTTTCATAATATTTTGGAGCCTAGATATGCGCATTTAATTCAAATAATACTTTGTTATTGCCCGCAAACGATAAGAAAATAGTTACTTTTAACTCTCAGAAATAGTCAAAGATGGTGACTAATCTTAAATTAGTCAAACTTTAACTTTTTATGCAGTAAAAAATAACTATTTATAAGTGAAAACGACTATTTTATTAGTAAAAAATGCTGGTACTAATTCAAATAGTAGAATTTTGACTATTTCATTTTAAGAGAGTGGATACCTACACACCTTTTCCTGTTCCAACTGTTTTTTTTCCCTTTAGCCTTTTCTCGCCTAAATGAACCCAATAAACTTGACATTTTCTTTTTTGCTTCCTCTATCTCAACACTAGATGCCTCCGCTATTTCTTTCCATGCATCATTTTTCTTTATTTTATGGAAATGCTCGTTGTGCTTGGGATCCCATAATAATCTACGTTTCTGATACTCCTGAATCAGAAGTAAAGCATCCTCATTTGACCAGTCCATCTTGCAATGTTTACTTCTATTTATACCGTATTACCTTCTATTATTTTAATCACAAACTCTTGCTAAATGCAAATATAAACACCACTTTTATTTACCAAACCTACGCACGAAAATGGATCGCAAAAGATACACCAACACAACGCACATATTTGCCCGACAAAATCACAATAAAAAAATATTTGCGCCGCAAATATTTTTGTCGAATTCAACACACAACATTCAACACACACATTTATTGATCTGGACCCGGCTTAAGGCATCAATTTCATATATTTTGTAAAAATGGCGAATGCGCCGGGTATTAAATGTTTGTCGTAAAACAACATAATTTTTAATATGTGTTGCTTAAGCCTTAATAAATTTTTGAGAGCATAAAAAAGTCGCGTCCCTGAAGAGGCATATTGTACGAAAATAAATTATTAAGTTTTTAAGTAGTCGAAAATTTTAAAACTTCACGCGAGTAAATTTATTTAAGGAGAAAAAAGATTTTGAGCGTTAAAGGTTAGACGCGACTGACTTTTATATTTTAATTTTGTAAAATTTTACTGTGACCTTTTTTATATTAAAACATCGAAGCGAGGGTAGTAAAAAATGCAAAATTGTCCGGGATGGGCGCATTAAAAATATTGGTTAAGTGTGCAATATCGGATATGAGCCGTTATGCATAAATGCATATAGGAAACTGGCCCATTGTTCCCGGGCAAATATTAAAATTTTCTCCAATAATCGTATTACATGTCGTAAAAGGCGGGTATAAATTATAAACACACGGCCATCTGAAGTACAGTAATCCACTTACACCGTGTAAAAACTAACGGCGACCGCAAAAAGAATATTCAATGAGCACTACAAAGCACACATTTTGTCCATTCTTATGGCATCCCAAAAGCCATCTTACTGACATTATTACTTTATACTTATTAACCATTTATAATACATTTCGACAATGTACTATCATAATTTTGAATTATTCTATGCATATGCATTTTTACAAATTAGGGTTTCTGTCTCAAGAAATTCCATAATTTTTAAAGGTCTCGCTCTCAGGAAATCGGCTAATAAAATCTCGAGAGTCGAGATTCGGGAAATCAAGATAAGGTCATGCCATGCGCATTAGTTAGTCAGCTCAGCTAGTTCATAGAGTATAGATTTAGTTTATAAATGGTGTGAAAAAGTGAATTGTTGACATGTATTATTATTACACCTGTAATGTACATTTATGAGAAAGTTTCGCAGCGAACCGTACTCCTTTCAAAACTTGGCAATTAGGTATTTTAGGTTATGTAGGTACCTGTTAAAGTATAATCAACAATATAAATTATACATACCATAATTTTAATAAAATTATAATTTTATATACCATATTATTAATAATTATATAAGTATATGTTTACCGTGTTAAAAATCTTACAATCCAGCCAAGAATACTACAAAGACTAACATAAAAAAAGAGTTTCAAGTATTTAAACCGACTGGCAAGAGAACTAAAAACCTCGAAAGGCTATGCTGACAATTAAGCCTAGAGAGTGAGCGTGTGTTTTCAGGAGCAGAAAATTTTATTACAAAAATAAGAAATAGGCTTTCGGACTACTTTCATAATGAACTCAAAAAGGATTAGTTTATTTATTCCTTAAAACGAATTGTTTTTTTAGTTTTATATTTTATATCATTTTTATATTTGACGTATCTGAGCGTTTTGTTTTTTGTTTAATAAATAACATTTATTTATTTTGTTTCAAAAATTAAAAAGATTTAGGTACTTTTCTTTAAAAATTGTTTTATTTTTATTTGCGGATTGTGCGGCACAATTTATGTCATGGCCTTGGTTTGATTGTGGAAATAAGGTTTAGTGAAATTCTATTCAAAAATAATTCAATAGAAAACATGTTTTAGGTTCTACAAAAAATATAAATATAAGGGAATTCTCGGGAAACAAATATTGGTGAGTCTCGACTCTCGAGAATTAAAAAATGTCGGGAAAACAGAAACCCTACAACAAATCTATCATAGTTCTAGTAGATTTGTACCAAAACAAAAAATGTATGATTAAAAAACCTAAATAGTCAAAATATCCACATTCCTATGGAGCGATTTTTCAAAATTTATGAATGTAGGTACTAGTCGATATAACGTATAACAAACTCATTCTCAGTATTCATCTGAAGACGTTGTGATTAAAAAAAAATAAAACGGCAATGGTCCAAAACCTTTCCTTCATTTAACAAATATCATTGTCTATAACCTTCCATCAAATCTATGAATCAAATAAAAAAACTAGTATGGAAGAAATGATTGGTGTAACAATATTATAATCTTAAAAATCTTAAATATAATACTATATTAAACTACAGTCCATAGTGTTCGTAATTTATTAATCAATCCCCTAGGAACAATCTTTCGTTTGGACCAATATTACAAAATCTACCTGTCAATGCACTGTAGTAGTACTATGCCACTTCGGTATATACCACTGGGTATCTATAGTATAGATTCTAGACGACCATATTTCAGTGGTAGAATAATATATATCCATGAACATAAACATAAGCCCCGCAAGTGCAACCGATACCCACCTTTCGATTTTCTTCCACAACCAACAACTGCACAGCTTCACCTTTGTTTGCTGAATGCACCACGGTTGGCCCGGTACCATTTTTGGGGTTCGTATCCAAAATGCCGATGGTTTTAGTGACATTTCCTGAAAGTGCGCCGGGCCGGACTATACACCCAGAGGGCTGGGGGAGTGAATAACTGGGAGGGTATACCTTTTGGTAATCAGGAGAAAATAACCAGTAGTTTTTTTTTCTATGCTAAGAAATTAGGAAGGAAATATGCACAAATTATTCACCCCTCTTTGCGAAACCAAT